CAATGTCCTACACCCCCCACCCGCTCCCCCGCCTGTTGTCCACTCTTGTGTGCTGGATGGACAGGCTCTTGACAGCCAGTGACAAGTGCAGCTGGATCTGCTGCTGTCCATCACGGTGCTGAACACTTTTAACAAGGCTGCGTTCACAACGACCCTCATCTCTGCTTCGCTGAGGGACCAAACATGGCAAGTCTTCCTCACTCTTGTCCGCCTGGCCCGCATTGGTCACGTGACAATCCCTTTGTCCACCCAGCTCCCTAACCATAGTGTCACATGCTGATCTCCCAATTCTATCTTCTCCTGTATAGCACACTCATCGCTGTCAGTTATGGGATGGAAATGTAGTTCATTATGGGTCCATGCCTTCAATCAAAACTATTAAAGCATAACTGCCCCAACAAACACCAGCGAACACCAACAGTTGTTGGATTGTGTTGGATCAGATCAGTGTTAAGATAAGATGTAATATGTCTCTCTGTGTGTGTGAGTATGTGGTCCAGGTATTCCCTACGTTGTGTCCTACCAAATGTCCCCACACATGGATAATAAAACTGAAATTTCTGCTGGTCCCCATGAGGAAAACAGTTTATAAAGATCATACTAAATGACAAAACACTATTATTTATTGTTTGTTTGTAATGTAATGTTACTGTAAAAACCACAGAATGTTTGTACAGTATTAAAAAACTATGGTCTGTTGAGAGTCCTCATAAAACCCAATGTATGTGTGTGCAATAGTGTTTGAAAGCACAGATATTCCAAAAGAAGTACCATCAGATTGTACTGAGATTAGCACACAGCATTATTGGTGACAGCTCACATTTGCTACTCCTTAACGTCATCTGTCGCTAAGAAGGATGCTTCAGATGCCACAAACACAGAGGAAAAAAACTTCAATGCTCATTTATTCTACAGTCCATAAGATTGTTTAAAGATCTTGTATTTGGTATTTTTTATTTTCTTATAAATTATAATTGCCAAATTCATATACCATGGTATTTAGTACATTATGGTACTTCAAAAAACTGTGGAAATTGTATTTCCAAAAAACACAGTATTACAATAATGCATATCCATAAAAACAGTATTATACCATGACAATTTTTTTGTTAGCATAGGCTTATCAAATGCACAAAAGTAAACATTAAGCATGTGCATGTTTCACCTATATGTTGCGATGTGTGTGTGAGCCTGTACAGAAGCATGTGTTGAGCAGCAGGCTCTCTGACAGGCGCCTCTTGTCTCAGTGCTGTCACTCACTGTGGATCAGTTGCCCTTACTTCTCTCCAATGTCACCTTCAGTCAGATAGACCTCCCGAAAAACAGCACAACACCCTGACCATATGCTGGGGCTACCAGCCCAGGCCATGTTCTGAGAAAGCCCCCACCGCCTGGCCGAGATGTCATGTGCAAAAATAACTAAACATACAGGGTCACAGCCAAACTACTAACAGCCAGATAATTGGTGCTCGACCTTAGAGGGATGACAGCTGCAGGAGGGTGACAGGGTATGAGGCTGGTCTGTGGGTTAGGGGCCACCTCGGCTCAGGGGACATGCTGAGGGTCCTGAGGAGCACAACATTTTGTGTTTTCCTGATCCTCAATCATATAGTGTGTTCTAAACAGGTGTCATGCTACAATTTTCCACCACCAGGTAACAGTCTGTCCTTACTAATAACAAAAATGCAATGCGAAGTAATTATAACATATTTGATGCTTACACTGCCTTCAAGTAAACACATCATACATCATTCAGAAATTTAATTTTGAGGACTTGAAAGCTGCATTAATATATCTAATACCTGTACAGAACGGCACTTTAGTCCAATGACATTTCATGATGGGCGGAGCTACTTAGTGCATTGTGACAGAAATGGAAATCGAGCCAACAAAATTTTGATTATTGCAGTTACAGCTGGTCAGGACCACAATTTTCAATTAAAATGCACATGACAGGATTTATCATTTGTTGTTTTACTCAGAAAAATTGCAATCTGTTTAGTGGTTTGGGAGCTCTGGTTTGGGGTTCTTTCTATCACCAACATTTGAGACAAAGCAATTGTCTTGAAACATTAATAAAGAACGATACATGTAGAACATTACATGAACAGTAAAATAACAATAACATAGCAATAACAATAAAACATGTGCAAAGAGGGGATGTGAAAAGAGAAATTAGCTCTTAATTCTCATTTAAAGATTGACTGGTGCCCCAGGGCAATAAACATAACAAGGTATTAGGACTAATGCCATGCTGACCAAAATAGGCACAAGCTGGCCTGCCGTGCGGGGCTAACGGTGCACTGCTCTGTGCATCACTGTCCCTGACATTGCCAAATGCAGACAGGTAGAGAGGGATCTTGCTAAGGCCACAAGCCCTGCCTGTCCATCTGTCACTCAGTCCAGCAGCTTGCAGCCTCAGAGGGGCCATTAAACAAAGAACAGGCCAGCAAGCATTCACACAGACACACATCAGTCACACATGACCTGAGGTAATGTTAATGTTAGTATTCAATAGGAGTCAATGTCAACATCTAGAGAGCAGTGTGGCCAATGGCTGATACAATATATATTCTGAGAGGTTATAAGTAGGAAGTCATTTCTGTGTTTTGACATTATTTAAGCTTAAAGAGATGAATAAAATCCCTTCCCTCTCAGGGCTGCTGGTTTAAAACTTCCTGACAGAAAAACAGGCCATAATCTTCCTTTCACTTTGCTTTTAGGGGAGCAGCACATGGTAATTCCTGCATGCATTCTCGGGGGATTGTGGAAGTTGCCATGACCTGGCTGCAGTGGCATGAACTCCCACAAGAGGACTGAGAAAGAGGGGCTGTCAAATATAAGTGAACACACGGGAAGAGAGGCAAGTCTGCCCTGCTCTGCCTGTATCCACTGTGGGATTACAGATATCTGATTAATCTGACCAGCTAAAGGACACCGTAGGACACACACAACACACACACACACACACCGGGCACTGGATTTAACTTTTAATACATTAGAAAGTCCATGTATGAGCCCCTTCTGTGACCATCTGTGCTTCCATAATGCCCAAACAAAGGAATACTAGGTAAGATACAAAAAGAGACAATGCTAACTGAAAAGAAGATTCAAATTTATGACAGCTTAATCGTCTGTAAAAGCAGCACATTCAATTGCTCACAACTATGTTTCCACCTTTAGTAAGGGAAAATGACTTTTTTTTTCTCCGTTTTTGAGAGACAGAGAGTGATTTTCCTCACACAAAGCTATCATTTGATTTCAGACAACTTTAATTATACTGTAGTTATATATTGGCAAATTTATTTTTATTTTGATATATAGATTTATTACAAGACTTCACCAGATCTTGAAGTAATCTACATTTTTTTCATCCAGTGTCTACTTAACAATATTTTTTGGCATGAGGCACACTCTTTATTTCAATTTTAGAATTGTGTTTTTAGACATTGCAGGCTTTCTTTTACAAGAAACATCTGAGATACATTTATATTTAAATGAAAAGACTGAGAACTCCATTAAGAGCTATAAAGATAACTTCTGGGGGGGGGGTTTGGGGGATCCTGTGGGTACCTTCTTGTCTTAAAAATAATACACATTCAGTCACTCACATATCTGCATGAGATGGAAGAGCCATACTGAGAGATCAATAAGCCAAATAGATCTAGCTCACAGAGCAATACGCTTTTAATAGACCTCCTACAGATGTGTGATTTGATCCTCAATGCTGTGATTCTGTAATGATGTTAAAGCAGTCTCTTTGGGCTGTCGCCTTGGCCATATGCTTGATGTCTGAAGGAAAACGCACACTTATAGGACAGCTAAAATTAACCTTGTCCATCTGCTTTTGTGTGCTATAATCAGATTGAAAAAGCAAACCACAAAAGCGCTCCAGTTTGTAATTCGGAAGATTTTTTGGAGTCTTTTGAGATCAGCAGACATTTGCTTTCAGTAAAAGATCCAAACACACAAGAATCCATCATATAATGACAAGCCCAGAATTCCGGTTTCTGTGATTTGCTCTTTTTAGAGTTTGTGAGATGTGTGTATGTAGAGGGTTTTACTTAGCTATACTTAGCTAGAAGTTAGCTAAATCTGGCAGAACTTCTCTTTGGAGACATCTAGGGATATCCTCAAATATAAAATAATTCATAAATAAAAAAAAGTAATGTTTTGTGTTTGCTTATATAAGAGAAAGAGGCAAATGTATAAGCCTATAAAACACAAAGATCTCTTTTAAGGACAGGATTACAGGCTAGGTTCGTCTGTTGACATTATAATCAGATTTATATAAAAACAACAGAAGTCTATCATATAACCCCATTTAGATATCTAGGTACATGTGAGTGAGATGTGGTTCTTCGCTCACACTGGCACTTGTTCCGACCATCAGTCTGTACAAAGCTACCTTTCACTCAGACACAATGAAAAGCCCCTTGAGATAAC